GTAGGTACAAAGCCTCAAGTATGAGGTATTCAATAGGGTCGAGCTCACTATTTTGCTAGCATTCAATAGGAGTAGATAGATTCACTTATCGCCCAGTTCGTACTCCTCCTTGGTCGTTTGAATAGCAGTAGAGATTTATCCCTTGTTTCCTGTTTAGGATTGAGTTCCCGTTCCTTCTGATGTATTTTCATTCTTTTTCACTTCCAGTAGCTCTGTGCACCTTAGTGGCATTATCGCCTTGCTTGGGGTGAATAGATGAATTTTTTTTTTCCTTTATGACCGGGAGTATTTGAGTGTGATTGAAAAGTAACTGCCTATTTTATGTATGATAGACTCTCCCGTCTTGTGAAAATTATATTTAGACAAGAGAGTCCATCATACATAAAATAGGGAGCTACTTTTCAATCACCCTGTATAATACGCGTGGTTCAATACTTCAGTAGTGGATTACTCATTAAAACGAATTAATTATATCAGCGAATTACCCCACGAGAGCGGTTTCTAATTATCGGGCAACTTTAGGCTTTGGTTGGTTGATTTTGTTTGGCGGCATATCAACTTCTCTGGGTTATTTAATGTCGAAATCTAAATATTTTGAACATAATTCTATGGTTTCAACACAATATATTTTGAATGCATTTGTATAACTCCTAATTGTAATTGCATGTCTAATTCAGTTAAAATGTATTGTTGGTCATTTTGCTTTAAAAATGTATTGCTGTTCATTTGTCTTTAAAAATATATTGCTGGTCATTTTGCTTCAAAAATTGATTGTTGCCATTTTGCTTTAAAATATATTGCAGTTCATTTTGCTTTTAAAAATGTATTGTTGGTCATTTTGCTTTAAAATGTACAGCTGATCATTTGGCTTTAAAATTTATTGCTGGTCATTTTCGTTCAAAAATGCATTGCTGTACATTTTGCTTTAAATATATTGCTGTTCATTTTGCTTTAAAAATGTATTGCTTGCCATTTTGCTTTAAAATGTATTACTGGTCATTTTGCTTTAAAAAGTTATTGTTGATAATTTTACTCTAAATACGTATTGTTGGTAATTTGCTTTTTAAATAAAAATGCATTACTGGTATTTTTACTATAAAAATGTATTTATATCCTATGTTTATGTATTTATATTAATGTATTTGTATTTATATTAATTAAGAAATATATAATAATATAAAACATTAATTAAGAAATTTATAATAATTATATTATTAAGGCTAAATGTATTTATATCAATCTATTTATATATTTCATAGTCTGAGTTTGGTGGTTGGTCACTATTTATCCATAGCTGGGACCCTAACAGATGCTACCATCCTGAGTCGGGGTGAACCTTGGTATAAAAGAAATTAACAGTAGGTTTTACGCTCCAATATCCCGATCAGAGGCGTTGCTTCCAGATGTACTTTATCGTCATACCAAAGACCCTCTACGGTAGACACTCTAATTATCACTATTATTGATAGAGATAAGACGATGTATGGATATGACTTATAGAGAGGTCAGTAGTATACAACAGTTGCCATTAATATTTCTACGATATTTCTCCAATATTTTTACGATTTAATTTGCTTCCCACGTATCATGGCCTTTACGTCAAACAACTATATATATATATATTTTTTCTTTTGCTTCGGATGTGAAATCATGCTACCAGCCTCCAGTTTATTAAGAACAGTGGTATATTTACATAGAAGTATTCAGTTACGAGGAGGTGGGGATGTAAACGTGAAATAACTGAATCGATTTCCGAACGGCAGCAGGCGTTGCTTCGATCTGTCGTAATGACGGCAGGTGGATGAGTAGTATTCAGAAATTATTTTCTGCAGACGTGATACTAAGAGGCCATTTCTCTGTCAATATACTGTCCTTTAGATAAATAAATTTGTGGAACGCCTTCCGTTTGAAACATTTATTTTAGTGTAACATTTTCAAACCCATAAACGAGACACTAAGAAACATTCGGAAGCATATAGAGGGTGCGATGGATAAATTGTCATCTAAATTATGCAAAAATGAAAATAACATGGGCATCTCATTTCAACATATGCAGGGTGCGATGGATAAATTGTCGTCTAAATAATGCAAAAATGAAAATAACATTGACATCTCATTTTAACAGATATATTTAACAAAATTACACAAAAATATCTTGAAATGCTAAAGAGTATGTTGATTCAATAAGATCGCCATTGGCTTCAACGACGGGATCTAGACAACTTCGGAATATCCTGCAACTCTTTTGGGCGGTCTCCTTGTTTAAATTGGTAAATGCAGCCATAATCCTTGCCTCCAGGTTGTCTTTCGTGTTACAAGGAGTTTTGTTGGTCTCTAGCTGAACTGCAGCTCTTGCATAATAATAAAGAAAGTTGCAGTCTGGGGTAGCTAGATTTAAGGGGTGATGCGGTCGCAGAAATTGTCTCACAGCGATGACTGGATTCTCCTGCTTGTGTGGCATGGTGCAGAGGGCTGTTGCCAGACATAGGGTCTTCTTGCAGCTACCTTCTTAACTCAGGGCAGCACTACCTCCTCAACGCACGATGTAGGACGCCGTGCTGAGTCTGAAGCCTGTATATATATATATATATATATATATATATATATATATATATATATATATATATATATATATATTCTCATCCACAGACAGACTGTTTCGCTGTATCCCAACTCATCAGTGTGGCTAGATGTCCGATTGTCGCGAGCCTGATTTGGCATCAGTCGGAGATGTTTCCCCTAAGCTATCGGCTCTCGGCTGAGACTAAGGTGAATTTTTACGTATTTATTTTGAATAAACATACCAGTGACTCCGAGTGCTCGATTCATAGAAAAGCTTTGCATTATCAGCAGTAGCAGTCACTGTTTACAAATTTGCTTTTTCTCTCTAAAGTGCTCGACCGAAAATTATTTTTTCGGGGGTGTATACATATTGTAATCCACAGACAGACTGTTTCGCTGTATCACAGCTCATCAGCGTAGCTATACATTCGATTCCCTCAAGCCAAGAACGAAACTCTACTCATTTGGCATCAGTCGGAGAATTTTCTCCTAAGTTATCGACTCTCGGCAAGGAGGAATTTTTATGTATTTATTTTGAATAAACATACCAGTGACTCAGAGTGCTCGATTCATAGAAGAGCTTTGCATTATCACTGTTTACAAATTCGCGCTTTCTCTCTAAAGTGCTCGACCGAAATTTACATGCGGAGTATCGTCTTCATCTTTGTTGCTATCATCACAACGTTTCGACAATTGTGCTTCTGGATTTCATCAGACGTTTGTCGGTGACTGCACCAAATATCAGAAACTACATCACTTGAGGACTATCAACAGCAGCAACAACTAAAATGGATAGCACATGTAACTCGAAGAGAATATAAGGACATAATCAAGAGGTTAACATTCCAAACTACTTCAAATAGAAGGTTAAAAGGCCCCCCACCCATGATCATTAGATAGAACGATAACAGCTACTAGACCTTGGAAAACGGTTTGCCTTAAAAGTTGTTTGAAGAGGAAGATTTTATAAATTTCAACCGAAAGCAGTATTGGCTGCTCGGTCAATGAATGCCAAATGTTTCCTTATAGGGAAACAGCTAATATTACAATTACCAAAAGGCAAAATAGAAACAAAAAGGACGCTTATACTTACAATTAGAAAGATACACTATAAATAATGAGGGAAGAGGATTTGGAGAATTTAACACTCAAAGGACATATTAAAAGCAAGAAGGACAGAGGAATAAACAACCTAACGAGTTTGTATAAATTAATGTCAGAATAGGAAGTGGAAGGGATGGTGAAAAACGCTACAAAAAAAAGCAGGAAGTTGTGGAGAACCTTGATCGTCAAGATACTGAAGAGACGCGGCACATAAAAAATAAAGAACAATTATAGCGTGTCCTTAACTAAGAAACTTGCACATTTCTTTTCGCTACCTGCGCTCGGAATTCGAAATTAGGTACAAGACAATAATTCGTATTTTGATTTTTCAAGGCGGGCAGACTTTTAACATATATTGGCGCAAGACTCAGAGAATTTCCTTAAATATCGCGTTTAGTGCTTTAGATTGTTATATGTTACTTCGGCGCCAGCAGTCGGTGTCCGAAACCGGGTAAAATAAAAGATTAGCATGCTCTTACAAGGACGAAAAGCCGGATATTTCTCTTCTGCTTCACCGGATAAAATGAAACTTCTTCCAAAGCCATTGCTATGTCTGTCTTTGTTCTATCCACATGGATATTAATAAAATGACTGGACAAAGCTAGACAATACAATATACAGGGTGTTGCAGCAAAACCCGACACTTGACAAAAAGAAAACGAGATAACAATAAAAACAAAAGTTGTATATGCAGAGACTCAACAGTTTATTTAGCAACAGTTACAGGGACATACTACATTATTTTTCAATGTAACCGCCGCTGGCGGCGACAAATATCTCAAGGCGGGCGCGAAATCAGTAGCGCAGATGATTGGCAAGGAAGAGTGTCGAATGTTTTGTGTTTGTTTAAGTGTTTCCCAGAGGATCTTGCAATAGAGTCGCCCGCTACTATAAGACGTAACTAAAATTCGAACCCTGCAGTTATCATTTTCTAGCTACAGGATGTTTGAAAAGTAACTCCCTACTTTATTTTTACAAGACGGGAGAGTCCATCATACATAAAATAGGGAGTTACTTTTCAATCACCCTGTATTCTGTGCTTTTCTGAATGCAACACCTTTTGGTAGGAAAAACATTGGATTTTTTCAGCATTTTCAATCTGTCAGAACAACAAAATTCTTCATGTATTTGTTCGAAAAGACTTTTATTTTTTTTCTATTTATTTATTTTTATTCTTGAGGTGAAATAAATCATTTTCTCTTTTGCTTTTCGTAAAATGCTTTTAAATATCAGAATCGAAATAAAACCACCAAATATGGTCAGAATAAATATTTTCTCTTCCAGAAATTTCTCTTTGTTTTTCGAATTCAAAATCCAAAAATATTATTTTATGTTTATCGTGTAATAAAAAATTCATGACGTGATCGCTCCGATATAAGGTAGTAATATTGCATATCACAGTGCGTGTGGACCTGCTGAGGACAGAAGTGGCTAAAGCGAGATAGAAAAAAGAGAGATATCGCTAGAAAAATAGGTTAAAGGCTGGAAGTAAACAGAGCTAATGCCTGCTTGATTATAGGAGATTTCAGCAAAAAAAAAAAAAAAAAAAAAGAAGGGGAGCAAAGAAGGGTGTAGAAAATCTAGTAATAATTTCATTTAGATTCCGCATTGGAATCGACACAGGTCATGTGATTGAAAGGTTAAAATTGTAATTAAATATACGTAAGAAATATAAAGGGAAAGAAACAGACAAGCGACGAAAGACTCTGTGCGCATATATTTATCATTGCTTTCAGAAATACTTGCTTTAGTTTTTAGTCTTTTTGTCATTTCATCCACCCATTAAATCATACTTGTCAAATAGATTAATCACTATCCACTGCTCCCTTTGCCTTCGATATGCCCTGAGTGTGTTAAATTCTCCAACTCTTCTTTCCTCATTATGTCTCTTGAAATTTTCTCATCTCTTTCAAAATGTTATTAGTAATTTTTATAGTTAGTTCCATCAGAGTGACACGATGTTTAGCGAGCTGAGCTGAGCTGTTTAAACCTTACTACTGAATATTGTGTTCGATTCTTACTAGATGCTCCACACTTTTGACCTTGTACCAAACTAAGTTAAATTTTGTAAATAAGAGGAAAGCTAATGGTTAGCAAGCTCGTCTCGTCATCATTAGAACTGAGTAGTACTTTTTATCCTTCTTAATATCTAATATGATTGGCCTTGTGTCAAACTAAGCTTGGCTCAGTAAATAAAAATTCCTTGTAGTTCCTATTCTTCGTAAATTTATTTGTTTTTTACGACTTAACAACCTTGTTTAAAACCAGAAAATAATTTAGATTGTAAGAATATTTTGGAGATAATAATGATACACTACTACAAGTGATACTAATTAACCCCCATCTGGGTAGAGAAGAGATGGATTCATAACTTTTGTCAAGATTATTTGCACGAAACTGAATATAACGAACCAGACTGGAATAGGAAATCAGCTCTCCGTTTAACAATTCCGAGCCGTTAGCCATTATATGACCCGCACATACAAGCTTACAGCACATGCTATTGCCAAGCGGCCACTGACCAGTCTTGACGTTGCTTAACTTCTGTGATCGTACGAAAACCGGTGTTTCAATGTGATATGGCTGTAAACCTGTTCTTCGAATAACATTCTTTTTTGTTTCATATGTCCAACTTTCGTCGCTAGAACCACATTTGTCGCCATATTTATTACAACGTTTCGGCCGTTGTACGCTCTGGCCTTCTTCAGGTGGTTGGAATATCGAACTGAACCCTTTATTTCACTCACTGGGGTAGACATGTGCCATGTTTTTAATGGACGTCAGTTGCTAATTATCTCCTGTTAATTCCCCACTCCATGTTCTTCACTGCCTTAACCGGGTATTGAACTCAAACTCTTTGGGTCCTGTCTCTGGATCTAACTAACGCCTTTATCTACTGTGGCACTGTGGATATTTTTATCTTTTATAACTTTAGGTATGTTAATTTTTATACAATTTAAAAAAAAAACAGTAATCTCCGTTTATGTTTAATATAAAATATAATCCCGCTTATTTTAAATAATTAAAAAAATCTGTTTATAATAATATATATATATATATATATATATATATATATATATATATACTAATAATAATAATAATGGACTCTCCTGTCGGTTTCGACGTATGAGCATCTGCCAGCTTATTGATTCCGTTATGAAAGTTTATGCGATAAACTTAAGTGGCATTTAAGACCCGCTAGTTATTTACAAAGGAGGCCACATATGGAGCAGGTGTGAGAATTGTGAGATGAGATCACTGTTAGATTGGCTGACCTTTTAGATCTTGCTCTCGCTTCTTGAAGATGATTCAGATTGAAAATTGCTGAGTCCACTAAAACACGTTGTTATATATATATATATATATATATATATATATATATATTTAGGTACGTTGTTTTAAAACAATTTTTTTACATTTCATTAATCCCCGTTTATTTTAAATATAAAATATTAATTCCGTCTACTTTAAATATATATATATATATATATATATATATATATTAAATAAAATAGTAATACCCATGTAATATATAGACTGCACCACCACTGCGTTAAGCAGATATTTTCAGTAAAATTTGAATTATATTACGCTCAGCTATACTCAACATCTATAGATTGCGTTTTGCAGGAAACACCGAGTCATGTTACCAGTGAGGAATAATGTGTACACTTATATATATATATATATATATATATATATATATATATATATATATACACACACACACACACACACACACACACACATATATATATATATATATATATATATATATATAGGGAGAGAGAGAGAGAGATAGATAGATAGATAGATAGATAGATAGATAGATAGATAGATAGAAGAAATATGAGGTAAAAATTGAGATATATGAAGGAATTACATACTGATAGCGAGATTAGTAGACGCAGATACGACCAGAATGAGATAGGCATATTGATAAATGCAATCAGACACTGGTATATAGCTAGATATGAGCGAAACTGATAGGTGGACTGATGCGAATAGATGAATAAACGGATGGAATCGATCGCTACAAACTGCGGAATGGATATCTGAAGTACCTCGGATCGAATTAAATGTATATGAAGAAAAAAGTAGATAAAAGCAGGGAAAGGACTGCGATAGATACAAAATTAGATAGATAGATAGATAGATAGATAGATAAACTGCAGGAGATAGACAACTAGAGAGACTTGAAGATTCTAGGAGAGAAACGAGATCACTGTAATATAAATAAAAGACTGCAAAAGATGAATCAATATTTATTAACTACACGAAGTATAAATAAACGGAATGGGCTATGAGATATGAATAGATATAACGATAGCTAGCTAAATAGATATATTTGGACCGAATGAAATAGATAGATAGATAGATAGATAGATAGATAGATAGATAGATAGTCCATAAACGGTGCGATGGATAAATTGTCGTCTAACTGGCACAAAAATGAAAATAATACGGACATCTCACTTTAACAGATATATTTACCAAAATTGCACAAAAAATACCTTGAAATAGTAAAGAGTAAATTTATTCAATAAAATCGCTATTGGCTTTAACCACGGCCTCTAGACGACTTCTGAATCTGCTGCAACTCTTCTGGACGCTATCCATGTATAAGTTGGTGAATGGTGCCATAATCCTTGCCTTCAGTCCATTATTGGAGTTTTGTTGGTCTCTCGCTCAACTGCGACCCACACAAAATAATCAAGGGGGTTTCAGTCGGAGGAGTTAGGTGGCTAGATGTAAATGGTGGCGTGGTTCTCCTGTTTGTGTGACATAGTGCAGAGTCCTGTTACCAGACATAATGTCCTCCAACAGCCACTTTCACGACCCAGAGCAGCACTTGATGTAGGCCTCCGTGTTGAGTCTGAGGCCTGTTACAGTTTTTTGGGTATATACTGTGTATAACTAGTGAGCGAGTCAAAATGACCTTTATAGTCGACCACTAGAAGGTTGACCAATCAGAAGCCACGCAACACTGTATCCGTCGTGTATAAAGGCGGCCATCTTTGTTTTGCTACTGGATCGACCAGAGGCAACTTGTCCGGCGAACAGGACAGACGGAAGAACTACGCTCTGCTAGCTTGCTGCGATATACACTGCAAATCTGCACTACGCTTTCCTACTGTCTCCGAAATATTCACTGCCAACCTCCGGATTCTATACTCGAGGGACGACCGTCATGAAAATGTCTAACAAAGCCCACACCAACAAATTCTGGAGTTCTTTTCCCATCAGAACGTTCAGAATGAGTTTGTAATACCTTCTTAATCATAATTAGAGTCATCTAACTCTTTCTGAATCCTCTCTCCACTGTCCTCAGATTGACATCCAAACTGAAATATTCGTATTATCATGCCATTTCCAAATTTCTGGTGGAGTGATTTGCCTCATGGTGCTCTTTTTCTCACAGACGCTCCACAATGTACCCTCCTATACAGTGCAGTCGAAAAACCAAAAAACAAACAACGAGCTTGTGCGAAATTAAAAATATAAAATGGCGACAGTTGACCCATTGCATTGCAACTTGTAGATAGATATGGACAAACTGAGATAGATAGATAGATAGATAGATAGATAGATAGATAGATAGATAGATATGAACAGACTGGGATAGATAGATAGATAGATAGATATGAACAGACTGGGATAGATAGATAGATATGAACAGACTGGGATAGATAGATAGATAGATAGATAGATAGATAGATAGATAGATAGATAGATATGAACATACTGGGATAGATAGATAGATAGATAGATAGATAGATAGATAGATAGATAGATATGAACAGACTGGGATAGATAGATAGCTAGATAGATAGATAGATAGATAGGAATACAACTGGTCATAAATTTGTTTTTACAAATGCCACCATAATTAAAAAAGCACATAATTTTATACGTCGAAAGTACTTCGAGTGACTACTAATAACAATATTACCAACTATAAACATACATTGAAAGCCTTATATTATAATTACATCATCAAGATTTACTGAATCCATTATTAAAGAATCTAACGTATGTACGTTAAAACGTCCTCCTATCAATATACTAAAAACTAACGAACATAATGTCTACTACTACTACTACTAGTGCTACTACTACTACAGACACACATAGACAAAGTAGAATTATTATAAACTCATATGCTTAAAGCAGTATTTACGGTTTTCCAGTTAGGCTTGGAATCCGTTAATTTGCTGGAAATTCGAAAGAACGTGTCGTCTCTCCTTGAATTCAGAACACCACAGATTATAGTAGCGTTAGTTTAACAAGTCGAATGCTCGGGAATCATGAATAATCAATGAAAATCAAACAAGTAGAAAGTGAAAATACTAAAATGTCTTTCTTCTTTTTCTCTCTATCTCATTCATTGAGGAAGATTTAATAAAAGTGAAACTTGTTAGATTGATAAACTTTCCTATTTGTTCTTTAGCTTATCCTTGTGTCGGATTCTGATTCATGTTTGGTCTATATTTGATCGCAACTCATACATAGAGATCTATGAACATAACGAGATAGATAGATAGATAGATAGATAGATATGTGAAGGCTGAGATAGATAGATCAATAGATAGACAGATGTAGATCAATTGAGATAGATATCTCCGCCATGAGATAGATAAACAGATATATATATATATATATATGTATGTATATATGAATAGACCGTCGTAGATATGAACTGAGGAACATGGCAATATGTTGTTGCTTAAATATGAATTGTCTGAAATTAATAATTCATCCGTTTTTTTTTAAATTGCAATTCGTCTGGAAGAGTAGAAAGAAACACTTTTATTTCTATTTTCTATTGTTAATGTAAGAATACACATTTATTATCAAGCATATAAAATGTCAAAAAGATATTCGAAATTATAAGATACTTAGGACGTAAAAGATTGTGACATTCTGAAATTCTTTTAATAATATTGCTTCGACAAGCGAGAAATGCTACTAGACAATTGTAGACTAAATATATTCTAATAGCCCTAGTATGGTAGCTATATCAGTTGTCAGCTGATATCATATTACGGAAACATCTGCAGCATGATACAGAAATCGTTTTAACAATTATCGGTCACCTGAGTGGAACGAAACAATTTCGTCTCATGGTCTTTTTTCTTGGGTAACAAAAAATTATTTTCCTTGTATTAGGCCACAAGCGTTCGACTACAAGAAGCTACACTCTGCGAACGATCCTGATGTCTGGTCTGAACTGTAGCCATACAGAATTTATAAGAATTTTTTTCGAAAATTTTGATAATACGTAAAATAAAAAAAAAACTACTTTTATTATAATTTTAAAACAAATTAACTGATCATCTTATTTGAAGAATTTTAAGTAGTATATATTATAGTTATTAGCATTGGTTTTCGGCCACACAGAGTTTACCGACTATTTTGTGTTAGGAAGAATAACGTGTATTAGTCTTCCAGTAGCAAACCGATACTAATATTAGTGTGACGTCGTCCCCACTGGTCGCAGCGTCGACTGTGTCGTTCGATCCCGTTCGCGACGCCAGCTGTTCGCTCCTCGCTGCTCCAAGTGTGACGTTCTAACCCTTTGGCTAGATGAATACCAGCCTCGTTGTTCCCAACCCGCTTCCAGCGCCTGGTTACCAGGGTAACTACACTGATCTCCGATCTGTCTACCAACGTTGTGATTAGATCTTAGACAGACGGGATCAAACAGGGATTGGGCCGTATGCAAGCTGAGTCCAAGGGGGGTGATAACACACAAGAAAAATAAAACTCACAAAGTCAAAAATATTGAAGAAAAAGGTAACAACTTTTTATATCTAACTGCTTGGTACACAAGATTATTCCTACCTTCCGACCCGTTCTGTGGACCGTGGCACCAAGCTTCTACCATACAACTTTAAGGCTTCGAGTTGCTTGCTCTCTAGAAATTTGCATTTCGGGGTGTGGTTTGGTTTCAACACTGGGCGCTGATCTCTACCTGTCGTTCACGGCTGATTTCTCTCGCCGTCCGTGGCTGCAACTAACTCTCTCTTCAGAGTCTGAATTATTGTTCACTCATCTCCGCTGTCAGTGCGCGAATTAACTTCTTCTCTTCGGCTTCGGTTGGACGAGCTTATTCACTTCGACTTGGGTTGGACGAATTTCTTCACTTCGGCTTGGGTTGGACGAATTTCTCTTCTTAGGCCAAACGGACCGGCCTTTCTTGCCCGCAAAGGGGCGAATGAACAGGGCCCGCTGTCCGCGCTGCAACTCCTCTGCCTGTCCGCGCTGCAACTCCAACTCTGTCGGTTGGGGTCCCGCTTTTATTGACGCCGTAAAAAACTGGGGTGGGTCTGTCGGCGCCAAGGTTTTCTTGATAATTCTAAAGACGTATTATTTCTGATTAGGGATTTTCCACCCTCGGCAACTCACTTTCACTCCTACTTCCTTACTGTGCCTCTGGGGGGGCGTATACCCGCTTCCCCTGGTCCTTCGTATGTCAGGTGACCGCTCTCGACCAATGGGGTCCTGGTCGGGCATCTTTCCTCCTCCCTCGCACATCATGTGACCGCCTTCGGCCAATGAGACTCTGGTCGGTATCTTTCCTCCTTCCTTCGTGACGTCTTTAATCGGGCGTGGACAATCCGTGGCTTTGTTCTGGGGGAAGAAACACCTTGCTCAAAGAAACAAAAATTTAAATTGTCCTTTTCGTATGTGACCTAAATGACGATCCCGGTTTCTTTTACACGCGGTTTCTGTCAAACAGCCTACCGCTAATTGGATACGATCTAAGAAAAGAATTTCTTAGACCTGTCGGCGTTTCTCTGAACGCAACAAAATATTTCATTCTCCTCCGGCCGATAATAAAAATCTGTATTATCTCAAAAAAGCGACATCACCCTGGGTGGCTTTTTTCCAACTCTAGATATTGTCTGGCTTTTCGTATTAATGCTTTGTTTTCATATCCTTAGATACACTTTTCCCATCCCCTTAGACTTTTACTATCATCTCAATGACACCCTTTTCATTTGTTACTTATCAATATTTTTTTTCATTGTCCCTAAAATTCGTTTCTCTAACCAATTGATAACAAACTTCCATTTTTCGTGGACACCGAAGTAGGTCAGGTGCTTGACCTGATATTTTTGACATCTGATATGTGCCAGTCGAGCGTGTGTGTTTTCGCTTACGACCTGGTTTCGTATTATTTCTTTTTCTTTTTTTTCTTTCCTCTTCCTCTTCTTTTCTTTCTTTCTCCCAGATCGCTTGAACGCAATTAAAGAATTATTCTCAAAACCCAAATATTTTTCAGCTCTAAATAATTATCAAATGGTTAACAAACCGAAAAAACAAATCATATATTTATGAATATCTCTTTTCAGTTTTCTAATTATGCATGGTGCCACATTAGCATTAGTGTAGCCATTGATACACTAACACTGAATACGAATATAGGAAGACGAAATACGTGACCGTAACAAACAAAACATTTAATAAGGTAAACACCTTACTTACATATATTAAAAAGATTTACATATGTCCCAAAACAAATGTTTGTCCATATTGTCACAAAGGAATGAGGAGTTTTAAAGAACGAGAACAAAAAAAATAACATACCAGCCATATAGCCTTTCATAGTCCGCAGATAAGTGAATAGAAATTACTTTTTTCTTTCGCTAGGCCGTACACATGTTGACCAGTTTCCACGTGTGTGGACACCCTGGTGGTCAGGAAGGTAAAGAGGCAGTTCCTCCAAAAAAAAAAAAAAAAAGGAAGCAAGAACTAAAAGGAACAGAAGAGTTCCCCTCTCTAAAGGGGCCGAACTCCCATGAGCTCAACCCAAAGGAAAACAACTGTGGTCTCCCTACATAGTGAACTAAAATATTTTAGGACAACAAAAAGCCTTTAAAATAATTGGGAATAAAGCTAGTTTTTCTCGAATTAAACTGCTAATTTCACCGACTCGCTATATGAGCTCAAGTTTCACTGGGTGCCGTTCCAACTTTGTGTTGTGTCAGATAATATTTGAAAATATCAGAACACTTTGCCGTGGAGCAAGAATTAGCAAGGAAAACTGGAGCATGCTGCTGGGCTGAGACAATTGCTTCCTTTCAGCAAGTTTGGTCAGTTTTTGAGCCTAGATAAAAGTCAGTATCTCTAATATTGATTTTCAAATCGGGTAGGCGTTTCTCACTTTGAAATGAACCGTAACACAATCTTCCGACTTTGCGATTTTTTTTTACACATTAACCAAATGCATTCATAACCGCACCCAATTAAGATACCTGTTACATACCTGTTTTACCTGTTTCATATTAATTGAAGAGAGGGTCGGCGCCAACGAGTATATGTATACCCTAGAGATTACGTTTAAAGACGTCTCGCAGGGCAACACGAAAATATCCAGTTCTATAGGTTCAACCAATTAACCGAAAATGATAACTCTATTCAACATACGAGTAATATAAAACCGATAATATATAACTTTTCTTCCTGTCTGCACTTGGTAGAATTTAACCGAGTGTTGCCTGGTTTAGTGAAGAAATCGATACTTTAACTCCCTTTTGTCATAATGACACCATGAAGGACTTATCAATTTAATTGTTTGATAACATAATGCGACCAAATGTCTAAGCAATATTTTCACTGCATAATAACAATATTATTGTTATAAAATGTTACGAGAAAATGATGTCACTGTACTATTGTCTATGTTGATAAGGACACAAATATTTAATGACATTTTTTTAAAGTTTTCCCTTTCAGTTTCCATAGTTTTGAATATAAGGTTGCCTTCTGAGAGTGGCTACTACCTAAGACTTGAGAATCCAGTCTAGCCCACTATTTAATACATAGCTAGAGGGAGGAGAAGAAAGAGTGGATTCATACCTTCTCCAAGGACATAGTGCGAAAGTGAATTCGACAAACAAGGCTGGAACTTGAATTCGACTCACCGATAATAGTTGCACTACAAACGCATCATCAACGACAAAGAATATTGTAGTTGTTATTAATAATTGTTGTCAAAACAACTACTATAGCCATTGTCATTTACGACAGAAGGTTTTATTTTACACTTATTTTAAACTTAATTTTTAGCAAATATTTAATGTAGAAAGCAAGAATATTTAATCCTGATATCGAGTCAACTGCTAAGTTTTCCGCTAAGAAAGTTCACTGTGTGGGGATCAACAATTTTTATCGCCTGAATTCGTCTTGCATCTTTATAAGCCTACCATTCGCACATGCATTGAATATTATTACCACATCTCATTTGGTGCTTCTGCTATATGACTAGCTATACTTGATAAAATCCAAAGAAGAATCTGCAATGTTATTGGTCTTTACATGGCATCTCGGCTTTAATCACACACACACCGATGTAGAATAATTTTCCTGAGCCATTTTTATAAATATATCTATCTGGCGCATTTTTCTTTTTTGTACCTCGACTTCATGAATTTAAACTTCTTACTAGATTGGCAATTAGGTCTTCTCATTTTAATATTAAAATGGCTATATGTTACCGTAAGTTTTATTCTGGTAGATTCTTCTTTCGCACTTCTCGCCTGTGGAACTCTCTTTCATCTTGTTTTCCTGTCAACTACAATCTTCAATAATTTAAATTTAACGTGAAACATCATATTCTGTCTCCTTGAATACAGTTCTTACTATTGTCCTTTCTCCTCAGTAATGTTTCCTCAATTTCCATCACTCTCTTTGCGTCTTAGTGC